ATTCCAGTCAAATCATACGTTGTCAGTAGCATTAGCTTTTGGTATGCTTGTGTTAGTGAACCTCATTTTTACCATTCTAATAATCTCTGGAGCTTGATTTTCAAGGACTGGTTTCAGGAAACAAAGGTCAATGCACGTGTTGTTTGCAGACCCATCCTATTCATATGAAATACATCATGCGTGGCGTATTGCATTGCCTAGATTATATGCAGTCTGTTTCAATGGTGACCCCAAGTAACACATATACAGTATATCCTTCAGTAGAACGCATCTGTTCAGATCTCTGTTTATAAAGTAAACAATTGTTAAATGTCTTGTATATGTTTCCTGTCCATAAAAGCCAGATGCTCCCTTCAAAAGCAGTAGTAAGACGTACACATTTATTCACAAATAGTTTCTGGACTGTTAAATCCTAAAGCCCAGCTGAATCAATGACATTTTCTTTATTCAACTAGCTTTCAATCAAGCCCACAGTCACATTCCCTATGTGTCTTGAATGTTTAATCAGTAAACACCGTAGGGAAATATTTAACTACAAACACAAATCTATCATCATTGGAATGTCATAAACACAGAGGGAAATTCCTATTTAATTTTGTAAAATTCCTTGCTTACAGGAAGAAATATGTGGAATGAAGGTGACTTTAAGAAAATGTAAGCTGAGAAGCAATAAGATGCATACATTTTGTTTTGGCCCTATGCTGCTTCTGCAGATTTTGCAGAGATGGTATCATGCAGCATTTCAGTCATGGCATGAATGAACTGGAAGAGGTGGTGGGTAGGTAAAAGGTTGCTATAAAACCTACTCTTTACCCTAAGGTCATATTTCAGGCTGTTTGAAATAACATACGTTAAAAACAAGTCATGCAACTGTGGTGTAAATACAAAAGTGCTGTCTAACTAATAAGATAGGGAGATAAAAAGACAAAGAAAATGAGGTACCTCTGAATGAAGGAAAAGCAATGGCTATCCATATGACTTTTCTTTAATCCTGACTTCCCTCCTGTAGTTTTAGTTTTCTCCCATTTCTCCTTTGAACAACATGCTTTCTCAGGTCCTCTCTCTGCTTTTTTTTTTGCATGGCCATCATGTACACAGAGAGATCTTTAATGCTCTCCCAGTATTTCTCTTTCATCTGCTTGACTTTTCATTTCCTGTGTGCTCCTCCAGCCCTGCTTCTATCTATAACCTTTTGATACAGAATCACAGAATCACAGAATCGTTTAGGTTGGAAGGGACCTCTGGAGATCATCTAGTCCAACCTCCCTGCTCAAGCAGGGTCACCTAGAGCATATTGCCCAGGATCACATCCAGACGGGTTTTGAATATCTCCAGGGAAGGAGACTCCACTACCTCTCTGGGCAACCTGTTCCAATGCTCTGTCACCCTCACAGTGAAGAAGTTTTTTCTCAGGTTCAGATGGAACTTCCTGTGGTTCAGTTTCTGCCCGTTGCCTCTTGTCCTGTTGCTGGGCACCACGGAGAAGAGGCTGGCCTCATCCTCTTGACACTCCCCCTGCAGATACTTGTACACGTTGATGAGATCCCCTCTCAGTCTTCTCTTCTCCAGGCTGAACAGGCCCAGCTCTTGCAGTCTTGTAAGTCTGATCAAGGCAGGCATACAGCAGCCTGATTCACCTTATTATACCTAATTCACCTTATTATCTTTCATTCATCTTAGCATCTTTAAGTCTTATTTAGAAATCAGTAGACCTTTCTCTGCCTTCCCATTCAAATTTCACTTACCTTCATAATCACTTGCCCAACCTGTTCTGTATGAAGCACTGTTCTCAGAGCTTTCTTCCCTTCTTCTCTTTTTCTGAGCTATACTTTGTTCTGTTTGATATTCACAATTGCATTGTCTCCTGCTGCTAGTCCTTCCTATGATTCTGTCATTCCATCGATTTCTGATTCTCTGCTGTTCACAGCCTCTTTTTCTTGCTCTGTCTGCACTCTGTTGCCGACTTGTTGACTGAATCAGTTTTCAAAATACATGCTACTGTTTAGGTTTGGGAATACTGTGCAAGAGAGATCATGTTTAAGAGCTAGTATCTCTCTTCTGGAAGCCAGTCCTTACAACGCGTGCTACTCTCACACCATCCTTGTATTAATACGTGGAGGCCCCACTTTCCAAACTGAGGTTTGTAATAACATCACAGTACGCATAAGAGAGAGTTTCTGCCCAGAGAATTTACAATCTGGATACTGACAATAAAGGAGATCAGCAAAACATAACTGATTCTGTTTTACAGTGACTGGGCTGAGGGTTTAAGAGCTTGCAAAACTCAATCTGATTTGTTAACGGTGAAAATACTCTACTACGTGGATTGTCATCTTATTGGTTCTTTTAGAAGCCAAATCAGGCTTGGGCAGATGTCAAGATTTTTTCAGCATTGGCTGTAGCTATTCTGCGTCGCCATTAAGGTGCTGCTGATTTTGATAAAACTTGTTTTGCAGACTTCGCTGTGAAGTGCAATCAACCAGTAGAGACCGGTTTAGGAACACTAAAGCAGGCTGTTATTATGTCAGCTGTCCAAGAAGCTGAAGTGATTGTATGTGGCCATATAGTTAGTGCCCTTTTTGGCAACCATTTTCAGCTTTTCTAACTTTTTTTTTCAGTGAGAAGTAAATCACAAACATATACGGATACCATCAAAAACATTAATATGCAGTAAACTATGTTTCTGGAGTGCAAATTGGCTCTTTTTAAAGGGCATTAATTTTCTGCTGTGTTGCCTTGGAAAATTAAATGCTTTAAAATGGGCATCTTAAAACTTAGCGAGATTCAGTGGTCATTTTCCAGAATCTTGGCCAAAGCGTTTAATGCTTATTCGCTGTAATAAGCTCTTTCTTCCTAAAACAAATTGCCCACATCAACATGACTCCAGGTTTTACCCTAGCATCTCTAATGTCCTCGAGGGAGAAAAAGCATAAAGCAATGGAAAGGTATGAAAGGTATGAAAGTAGATAGCCACTAATAATCTCGCTTTAAAGTGCAGCAGTTCAAATAGACGCCACAGCTCACAAACTGAGTATGATTAGGTAGGGAGCCATAATTCTATAAACAGTCCTTCACGATCGTATCATCACAGTCATATCTTTTAAGAAGATGTAAAGAACAGAAAGGTTAACAAATATACTTCCTAATTAAGTCCTTAACTAAAGCAATCATAATATACACATCTATCTTCCTTCTCTTTTCCTTCCTCCCTGACTGCATAGGAATGGATTGCTGAGAAATTCTCACTTTCTCATTTGAAAAATGTGTTGTTATTGACAAAACAAAGCCAGACAGGTACAAATAACTGTGAAGTGCTTCAGGATTTGTTAGTGAGAAGATGAAGTCAAGCTGGGGAAGCGGGGGAGAGAGTGGAAAGGCAAGATGTAGAAAAAATACAGGTTGTGCAAATTTGTAATGAATGTGGCAGCGGTAATCAGATATGACAGGGAAGGTATATTTCTAACTGGCTCTCCAATCCTCTGTCTTGATCTTAGCAGAAAGATGGAGGAAAGGCTAGTAAATTCTGTAGGCAACAGCTTAACCAGCCACAACTACAGCAGAGGCAGAGAGAGCTGTGGAAGGTGAAAAGGAGCTATCTGGTCTGCACTTGTAACTGAGAACTCCTGTCTTTAACAATATGTTTGGCTTTTTTCTAAGCCTGTCCCAGCTAGGTTGATTTCTAGAACACCACCTTCATCATCGATATTTTTAAGCATCATTGTCTACTTTTCTGAAACATTCTTAAGCAAAAATAAGAATAGATTGATGATGCCAGATGCCTAGCAATTATAAGTTGTTTATCAATGTTTCAGTGATCTCAATGACATGCACATGTGCATAAATATATATGCACATACATATATACAAAAAATGTGATATTCTGTTACTAAACTAAAATATTGTGAAATCAGAAATGATTCAGATTAACGTTCAGGATTTTTAGAACTAGGGAAAGTGTTCTTTAGAAGAACGTAATGTGCATGAATAGAGACCTTTAGAGTAAGATAATCAGCTGTGAACAGGTGTTTATTCATGCAAACCTCTCGCCTCATTCACATGCAATGGACCAAAGAAAGAAGAAATAGGACAGTGGAATACTTTTTGGTTTCAAGTTGCTTATATAATTTTTGTGGTGTACTGTTATCTCTCATTACACTATATATTGCCTGTCTAGATACTCTGAGCAAGTCTATTTATGATTGTATTCCGTCTTAAACATCACGGTGGAGTACAGAAGTAAAGCACTTGGGTTGCATCTACAGTAAGTTGGGCAAGAAGTATGCCCACAATGTGACTGCTCCTCAAAGGGCTATCTGTGGCAAAATCTCTTTCTTTATTAACCACACAGAGAGGCCGAGATGACTACCGTCTCCCTCCAAATGCCTCAAGCAAGGAACTCAAGCTATGTCAGGATGAGTCTGCCCTCAGTCTCTCCTCTGTTCACTAGACCAGCATTGCCAGGTAGTGAGATCACAAGGCCTTGAAAGCTTCTTACAGTCTAAAGCAGAGAAAGCTTTGCTACATCCTTATCCTTCAGGATAAAATATCTTTTACCAGATATGCTCAGAAGAATAGGCCTATGTCTTACCCTATGCAAGTAAGGGACTTTGCAGAACTAGGTAACATGGAACCCCCAGACCCCAAGGGAAACCCCAGACTGAAGAAACTGGGAAGTGTTAGCTTTCCTACCTTGGCAGGTCCAGTTCTGTCACTGTTCTTCATGCTATCTGCCACCTTATTCCACATACCGATGTGGATAGCACTCATGTACAAATATTGATTATTTCACTCTTATAGGTACTGGATGATTCCCACTGACATCAGTGTAGCCAGATCATGTGTTTGGTGAGTAAGGATGGAAAAAATGAGTCCATTATATTTTCACATTGATAACAGCCCTATTACTCATGTATAACTTGGCTGTGTTTTCATGTGAACATCATAGTCAGTGCTTACTTCACAGGCTCCACTTAATTTAGATATACGATTTTCTAGTATCAGGTATAATCTAGCATTTCAGCAAGCTGATTTCAGAGGACAGCATTCCAGCGCCCAGGATGCAGGTTACAAACCAGAAGAAATGGAGTCCTCCTAATTTCAAATGCCTGACTGGTTAATTATTTAAGCTATTCTTAAGACAGATGACTTTCCTAATAATTGGAGAAAAGCAAGCTTTTATCAGCAACAAGCTTGCCACGGTTTCTTCTAAATGATACACTTAAGGTCAAACATTTGGAGTAATCAGAGATAGGACAGCCCATTTCAAAGCTCCTTTGTTCATAAACTTCCATCTCCAAAGCACTGTCCTTGGTAAACTATGAAGAAAGTTAGGTCTGTGATTTTTTGAACGTAGAAAAGGGTATTTCATTAAATATTGCATAAAGGCAGAACACTTATTCAAATATTAAAGCACCTTTATTCTTTAAAATAATAATTTATTTTTTCCTCCAAACCTAAAACTGACAGTGTCTCTTTAACATTATTCTCTAACAAGAAAACACCTCATTCTTACATAGTTTGTATGTATCTTTAGAGGACGCATCCCAACCCACACTGCTGGATCATATTAGCAGTAATGGTCCTGGATACCAAACCCTTTATGCTCCAAAATAAACATGGCAAAGATTAAAAAAAAACCCCAACAACCAAAAACCACACACGCAATTCAAAAAGTTCCTGAGAGCATTTTGGCTCTGACCTAGAGATTATAAGTATATCCTAGCCAAGACCTCAAATTTACCTATAATGTTATATAAACAGTCTTGTCAGTAGTTCGCTAAATAGTTATTGGATTGTATCCAGAATGTTTTCCCTCTGCTGGATCCTGCTCCCACCTGCACAGACAGCATTTTAAAAGATTGAAGTAACCAGAAACCACTGCTGCATTTTGTGTGTTGCTTGATTTAAGTACACACTAAGACCAACTATTCGATTGAGCCTTTCAGGCAGGAGACAGCACATACTTCATTCCCACATCCAAACTGAACTTAGTGTATGAGCTACTCTGCTCTGGCAAGGCTGGGCCTGTGCAGAAGCAGGACTTAAGGACTATTTCGAGTAAAAATCTCAGCTAGGTCTGGATGTCTGTTGCCTACAGGGTAAGCAAGGTCCTTACTGCAAGGTTTAGAGGTTTTCACTGTCCTAAGTCCCTCTTTAGGACCATAGACCCCATTTTGAGTCTAGCCCAGACAGATTATTCAAGGTCATACAGGAAATCTGTAGCACATCAGACTATCCAATTGAACGGTCTCAAATCCTAGGTCCATACGTAGCTATTGAATCACTTTTCTTCACTGCAAACTCTTATTTATGGACTCAACAATGCCATTTCAGTTTCGTTAACTGCAGCTGTACTCTGTGTTTCACAGCTTTTTAAGGCCACAAGCAATCGTTATTGACATCTAGGCTGATATCAAGCATCGTTCAGGTCAGTGGAAGTAAACCAAATGCATATCAAATTAGCATCTGTGTGTACCAACAAACCCATGGCAGAAGAAAAGAGATTTGGTTTGCATTTCAAAGCATTCTTTTGATCTAGAAGAGGGCTTTCATTTAAGGGGTTTGTTTTCATGTTTTCAAGTTTTTCACTTATTTTTAATTAATAATAAAAATGTATTATTAAAAAAAACCTCTAATGACCACTCATTTTCTGGATTCTTTTTGCTATTTTACCTCATAACATGTCAAGTTTGGTCTCATAACTTGACTTTTCAATAAGCTATATCCACTACCTACATTTTTTTCCTTGTTACTATGATGAATTAAGTTTAAATCCAGACTTCTGGTGTGGTGTAACCTTAATGTCTTCAGGTACACCGTACAGCTATAAAAGCTCATGCAAACAATTTGCGTTGCACGTGCAATTGACTTCAGGGAGCAGAGAGCATAGGAAAGGAAGGGGAAGAATCACCTATATGACAGCAGAGTGACTTACTCATTTTTGGTATCACATTTTTAGATTACCATTTGCACATGCTACAAACAAGCACCTCTAAGTACCCTCTGTAAGAAAAAGCTGAGATATTTTCTTCAGAATTGTTTCTGGTATTTTCCTGTCAAGGTAAAAGAAAAATTGTACAGTTTCCAGTTAGGTAAAGTCTCACATTAACAACACATTTCTGCACATGTCTATGAAAAAATAGTGCTTGATAATATGTTAAAGTGTTCACAGCTATTTCAGTGATATTCAAACTTCTGCTTCAGTTGCTTTTTTTTTTTTTTGTTTACTGTTACAGTGGTATGCAGAGGCCAGTTAGGTTAACTACTGAAATGTTCTCTCTAGGAGCAAATTACTGTTGGAATAATAATCAGGACCTTCATATATGACAAATCAATAACTAATTCATACCAGCCTAATAATAAAACAGTGAACTTTGTCTAGTTCTAAAAGGTAATACAAGTTTTCTTGTTTTGCTCATTTTCTCCTTCAGCATTGTAGCATATTGAGTGTCTAATTGCCCTGCAGAGAGTTTACAGGGGAAAAATTAAATCATCTAATAAACAGTAGTAAATAGTGGTAGTGAAAAAAAAAAAAGTTTGTTGGTAAAAAGAGTGGTAAGTACAGAGGAATGCGTAGTTTACAATGCGTGCTCATAATCTGTCTTTGTTGATTCTGTAGAAATGATAGAGACACAGGTGGTTTGCCCTAGTTTATGCTAGTTATTC